AAAAGTTGGTGGACCAGTGCTGTTAAAATTAGCACAAGTATATGCACTTAAATAAATGCAATACTGTGAATAATGATGTGTTTCTATGACACTAATACATAAATAGTAGTACCATCGAACTACAAGTTTTAATTTAATTACTTTTGACAATTGATTACTGTTATTCACACTAAAATTTTCTTCAATTTACAAACATCATGTTTCCCTAATATGTTGTCTACATGCTTAATCCATGTTGACTGATTTTACAGATTTTGCAGCCAACCAAAGTGCTCAGTCTATACCAGTATTTAATTTGTCAAATTGAGGCCTTCAATCTTATATGAATTCTGCCTAATTCACCCATGATACCTATGGTTGGGGTCACTTTGCTAACACCCAAAACCAAACGATAGAACTGACTACACACCTGTTCCAAGTTGTTGGCATCATTTGATAATTCACAAGCCCAAATTTCAGACCCATACATCAAAATTGACACAGTCAATTGATCAAATAATTTCAAGCACAATTCTGTATAAATCATTTTATGACTCAGAACAGATTACCGCTCAAAAGTTAGGTCGACAACCGGGCGACGACGTAACAAAACTTTGTGGCCCGGCCGAAAACTTGCTGGACTTGGGTGACCGGTAATTTCATATCTGCACTGTAAAGGCCCGTTAGTTTGATTGTTCAATGGCACGAGGGTGAAATTGATCTCGAAAATGTTAACATCATGAATTTGGTGATCGGTAGGGTCTGATCTTTTGATAAATGGGTGGTGAGGGGGTTGGCAGCTGGACACATTTTGTTTTATATTTGTTATCGTGCATTGGTTGGACCTCTTTTTTTTACGTGTGATCGTCACATTATATTTGAAACTTTTGATGGTGAGAAAACTAGACACATAAGATTTTGTTTGCCAAGTTGTTTATTTATTCATTTTTTTAATCTGATTTATTTTTCCAAAACATATTTTCTCAGACTTCAAAGTTCTGTATGACATCAGGTTGGTTTTGACGGTACAACTTTCGCGGTTGTCCTGCGGTGTTTGGTGCTGACGATGTTGGTAATGACGTCCTATTGGGAGGGGGTAGTATAATCGTCCATGTTTGTGGTCCACCATCCCTGGCCATAGGGCGCTGCCGGAGTTTCCGTGGGTGGTTGTGTCATCAAAGCATGGTGCCATACAGACATATTTGTTCATTCATTAATTAATAAGCTATATGTTTATTCATCACTGATTTGTATTAATTTACATATTTATTTATTTAGTTATTTATTAATTAATTTGGTTATTTAATCTTCATATTAATATACTTATTTTTGGCCCTCTTACTATATACATTATAATTTACTTCCAGTGTACATGTATATTGGAATTAAGACTAGACTAGCAGTAAGCTATTTTCTGATTTCCTTCTTACCCAATATATATATATTTTTTTTTTCTTACCATTTTCATACCCAAAATTTCTGTAATTGTATAGTATACTATGCCATACCATGTTTGAGCATATTCTCTATTTTTTAAAATTCACAAATTTGTCAAGAAAACAATGAGTTTTATTGTTATTTTACATGTCCACGTAGATTTAATTTACCCGATTTTACTTATCAGCGAAAATACCAAAATTAAAACCCAGTGAAAAATTAATGCATTTACAGTACCGGTAGTTAAAACACATATTGATCTATATACAGTGAAACTCTAACACCTTGTCATCATTTTTTTGGGGGGTTTTCAAAA